GGAGAGCAAAGAAGGAGAAGAGGGGCTGAGCTATAATTTATTTTGACTCATTTTATGTATGTATTAATATTTGTATTTAATTTATCTTTATAATTTAAAGAAAAGGTACGTTTTTTGGGTTTTTTTCTGATCGAATATATAGAATAATACTTTCAGCATTCTACGTGCAGTCTGCCTAGTTTACCGTTTCTGTTGTTGATGTTGCTGTGGCTGTTGTTGTTGTTTTAAGGTTTTTCTATGGGGTGTGAAGTGGTGTAGTCTAGTTTTCTCCACTTTGCCATAGCTCTGCCATGCCTTCTTTGCAAACACACGCGCGTGTCAGTAACGTTGGAGATGCCAAGAGATGCACTAGCTGACCTGTCATATTTATCCACTAGAATTTATTGCAATGTAGGGACAAGTGAATGACCGCCTCAACTCTCTTCATCTTGCAGCGGGGAGGTTGTGGGAAGCAGAGAGCTGATCTAATGCATCCACCCGCCCCCACTGGTAGTCTGCTGGAGAATTAAGGTTTTCTTTTATGATCCAGCTCGTCTGTGGCTTCTTCCTCACCTTCCTCTTCCTCCCCTCCTCTGCGCCCCCTCCCTCCTGCCTTGCTTCCCTACGTGCTATTGAGGCAGGGGTTAAACCCCCAGAAAACTGCTGTAGGAACAACAAGCATTTCTTCCTTTCCGATAGGCCTTGTGTCAGTCCATAAATCAAAGCCAACCTGGGAGCCGCGCACCGGGATGCATTATTTTAACACCAGCTCGTAGTAAATATCACCGTCCGTTTGATTTGTGAAATCCGAAAGGCCCTACTGACACGGAGGAAATAAGAGGGGGGGTGGGGGAAGAAGCCAACCCAACAAAGGGAAAGAGAACCCGAAAGGGTAAAGGACGCTATTTCTTTTGTTCGTTTTAGCAGAAGCTGCTGGCTGATTTTGCAGCTGGGGAGGGAAGAAGGGCCGGGCGGGGGCCGGCGTGCAGGCGGCCCGGCCGGGCTCCCCTCCGGGGGCCGGGTACCACTGACACGTGAGGTGGGATCCTGTTTTCACACACGAAGGAGAGCAGTTGTATTAGCCGCGGAGAAAGTCTATTTAAATTTCGGAGCGGTATTTGGTTACTCGATTTGGATGGCAACAAAGAGCTAACGTTAGGCTTCACGCTGGTTTCTATTAAAAGGCAACCTTTGCGGGTTGCTGCCTCCGAAAAGCTGGGGGTTAGACTGGAGGAGTAACGTGTGGTCGGAGGGACCGGCAAAATGTGCCCGTTCCGTGGACTTGTTATGCACAAAAAGTGAGGCCATGGGCGCTCCCCCCTCCGCCCCTCCGCCCCCTCCCCCGCCCCCGAGAAACTGAATCCTTTGAATGTATTTAGGAATTTCAGGGTTGTGAGTCTCTGAGATAGCAAGAGGTAGATAATAAGTGAGAGGGTTTGCGCTAAGGGTTATATTGTTACACGTGTAAATAATGAAAATATTGTTATATATCGCCAGATCTCTTAATGAATTTAGTAATTGTATTCATTTATAATATCAGTGTTCTGTGCTTGGTAATAGATTCGGCATCGTTTTCCTTACTTTTTTTTTTTTTTTTTTTTTTTTTTTTTTCCCCCTGCCTAAAGGAAAGCCAAATGTTTTGCAGAGTTATGGTTGATCAGACTGGGTAATCCCGAGATGTGATTATTTATAGTTTACGTTTTCATATCCTGCGGTCCTCTATTACGCCCCAGTCTTCTCACTCACATGCCATCCTTCCCCCGTCGAGTCTGTACACAATAAATCATTTTCAGGTGTATTTAAAATAGTCATGTCACTGCTATTGGTCTGAGTATTTTCCGAAATTTAGCAGAGAGCTGTACTTTGGTTTAAAATCGCAGCAGTTCCTATCGGAAAGTGATCTTTACAGAATCCTTATGCTTTAATGTAGTGGCTCGTGTTTGCACATTACAATGCTCATAACTTGTTTTGTATGAATGGTTTTAAATGGAACGTCTAGAGAATAATTGGTTCTAATATGAAATGCAGTATATACTATTGATAATTTTATCAATAAGTGTACTATTTTAAATAACTTTAACAATTAAATTTGGGTTTTTTTAAATTATATATTTGTAAAATATTTATCCTGTTGAAAGCAACAATACATTGTTGTATTTATTCGTTTATTTTTGTAATAAATGATCAACATCTTCAAGCTACAGCAAAATCGATACTTCTATATATTTATACAGGGATACCTTTCTGAAGCGCAGAGATGCATATTCCAATTTGGAAGCGAGTGTAAAGATTACCTCTGTAAGTGGCAAGCTGCAGGACCAAACCGTAGGCGTGAGCTTCTTCGCCACATGTACTTTAGTTTGCTTAAGTTCCAGGGTAATTAATCAAACTCTAAAAGGGATGCAACAAGTCCCGACCTCGGAGGCAGGCATGGGGCGAGCGCTTGAGGACAGGGACTCATTTTGCTAATGCCAGGGTTGGCGAGGAGCTTGGTCGCCTCTGGCGAGAGGGATGGGTGGCTGGATGGAGCGATCGGAGGAGATGCAGTGAGGTGGTTATTGCCCCATCGGTGTTTTCAGTTGCAGTTTGGCACAATGGAGCGGGCGCAGCCTTCAATAGGCGGCGGGAGCGAGGGGAGAGGAGGGCTGCGAGCGGCCCCGCAGTGTCAATGACACAGCAGTAGGGAGTTCTTTGGCTGAGAGGCGTTGGCGACACAAAAAGCTAAGGGGTGAAGGCCGAACGGGGGAAGGCTCGCAGCCCATCCCGTCCTGCCCGACACCAAAGGAGAGGCCGGGTCCGCGGTGGTGCCCACGGGGCCTCGCCCTCGGGGCTGCGACGGGACTCGCGTCCCCCTCACCCCTCCCCAGCCGGGGTGGCTGCGGCGGGGCCCGGGCCGTGCCA